CAAGCATCCGCTTCGGATGATCTTTCCTTAATATGGGAAAACTCTTTGCACAACACCTGATTTACTCCAACTAGATCCTTGCGCAATTAGTTTGAATCTAAATCAACTAAACTGTGAAATCAAAAGGGTTTTTCATGCGCGATTACATTTCTGTATTTGGCGGTGGGCGTCTGAACGGTGAATTATTAAATTTGTTGCCTGAAAGCATCTCTGGGATGCAAGATCACGGCTGTTTAGGCGGATAAGAGGCCAGACACACTCACATTGAGATAACGTCAACCTCCACTCCACTAGTCTGTGCTTGCAGCTGATATACGGGTGCGATATCTGCTCTGGATCAGTATACTGACGTCTGGTGAACTGCAGAGGTTTAGTGCAGATCACAGACTCACTGCCAAAACTACAGAGAGACCACAGCGAACACTTCAGAGTGATATTACACAACAGAAACAACCTACACTCGTAGAAGAAATGGTTCTATTTAGAACCACAAATGGTTCCATCCCCCGCTTCATATATGGAACTCTAAAATGGTTCTATACAGAACCATTTTTTTTTTGGTAAAACGTTCAATTGACCAAGTATGGATCCCCAGGGTTCTATATAGAACCCTTTTTTAATAGTGTATAGAACCTTTTAGGGGTTCCAAATATGTAGCGCTGATTGAACCTTTTAAGGTTCTATATAGAACCTTTTCTTCTAAGAGTGTAGCAACCATTCAAAACAACGGAGAGCCTAAGTCCCTCCCCTTCCGGTCGACCACCATGGGACCTTATTTCGATATGGTAGACAACAAATATGTTGATCTGGTTTGAATTGTGCCCTGAATTACACATATGATGTTTGTCAATTCAAAAGATACGTTTTAAAGTCAAGAAAGTAAAACTGTTGAGGTATAAGACTACAAACCCCAAAAGGCACACATTTTCTCTCAATGAATGAAACTAACTTTACTGAAGCTAACGTCTGTCATTGTTTCTATAGTCTTACGTTATAATCGTGACGTTACGAGTGTTTTGTACCAGACTGCACACATACGAGAAATACTTGCTCGTTGTTTCGCTTCCGGGAGATGTAAATCATTGATGTTACTCTTCTATTTTATGACAAACTGCGACTTTCTTTACTTATTATCTTTTAAATTGACAAACATCATATGTGTAATTCAGGGCACAGTTCAGATGGAATAAAAAGATAAGTCGTCTCTCGCCATTGACTAACATACATTTTTTTTTTCTCGAAATAAGGTCCCATGAGCCGGAAGCGGAGGGGCGGGGCTTAAACTCTCTATAGAACCCTATTACACCCTAACAACAACATGACAACAGTACACTAAAGTTGACAAAAACTTAATGACAAAAACAAAAGTTCAGGAAGCAGACACACTCTAGATTAAAAACACATCTCTTTAACCTTACATACTCATAACACATTATCACATTTCTATAATTCACATCAGTTAAAGGATTTCCAGACAGCAACATATTGTCTCTAAAGATCCGGGCCTGATACGAGAGGAGACAAAGGTCAGATTACACCAATAATAAAATATCTGAAACAAAGAATTCAGCAATTCAAGTCTCGATTAAGCCCTTTGGTATCTAGGAGAATAATTAACTAAAAAAAATGTGATTTTTCGTCCCTATGGTGTGGAAGCAGATCACATTGTGTATGAATATCCTAACACATAAATAATTGTCTTATCTCCATCACATCCCGATCTAAGGAGGGGTTTGTTAGAGGTATCTACGGCAGCCAGATGACGTACATCGAGACATCAATGAAAAGATAAATTAGCTTGTTTTGGCTCCTGAGCCAAATGCAATAAAAGCCCAAATTCTTACTGCTTAAAACATTGTGCAGGTCATCTGAGCATCATGAAACCTCAGCGGGGCTGTAGCACATCAGAGCAGATGGACGGGAGAGTTACGATGTCTTGGAGGACGCTGAACATCAAAGACCCGTGCCGTGGACCTGTGATGCTCTCGTCTGATAACAGGACCTCTGAGTCTTCCTCTTAATCTCTCACACTGATGCTCTTCAACCTCTTTTATTATGTCTGACCACGGCTGGAATCCAGACCTCTGATAATCCTGACCGAACCCTAGGAATGTGTGCAAAGGAAAAAGAAAGCAGGCATGGATGGACAGAAGATCAGCTTAGGAAGTGCTTAGTGATGGGCAATCATTATTCATATTACTTAAGAGTTCAAATTTGAGTAAACATTCACCTTAAATATTAAACTCGTTTTCTTCAGAATATAATTATATGTAGACATTGGGAACCTATTTGTAGTGTTTTTGTTGTATACCATGGTATGATGGGCCAAATTCAGGGCAAAACTCAGAATGAAAGATTGTCTCTTTAAAAAAAAGATTGTGAGATTGAATTCAATTGGCCCCAATGAAGTTGAATCTATACATCCATCCATCCATCCATCCATCCATCCATCCATCTATTCATCCATCCATCCATCCATCTATTCATCCATCCATCCATCTATTCATCCATCCATCCATCCATCTATTCATCCATCCATCTATTCATCCATCCATCCATTCATCCATCCATCCATCCATCTATTCATCCATCCATCCATCCATCCATCTATTCATCCATCCATCCATCCATCTATTTATCCATCCATCCATCTATTCATCCATCCATCCATCCATCTATCTATTCATCCATCCATCCATCCACCCATCTATTCATCCATCCATCCATCCATCCACCTATTCATCCATCCATCCACCCATCTATCTATTCATCCATCCATCCATCCACCCATCTATTCATCCATCCATCCATCCATCCACCTATTCATCCATCCATCCACCCATCTATTCATCCATCCATCAATCCATCCACCTATTCATCCATCCATCTATTCATCCATCCATCCATTCATCCATCCATCTATTCATCCATCCATCCATCCATCCATCCATCTATTCATCCATCCATTCATTCATCCATCTATTCATCCATCTATTCATCCATCCATCCATCTATTCATCCATCTATTCATCTATCCATCCAGTCATCCATCTATCCATCCATCCATCCATCCATCCATCCATCCATCCATCCATCCATCTATTCATCCATCTATTCATCCATCCAGTCATCCATCTATCCATCCATCCATCTATCTATCTATCTATCTATCTATCTATCTATCTATCTATTTATCTATCTATCTATCTATCTATCTATCTATCTATCTATCTATCTATCTATCTATCTTTGCAATTGCTATATATTTAATTCTATTTCCTTGTATTCAAATTCAAATTGCAATTCTGCATCCTGTTTGCTATCTGAATTCAAGAAGACAAATCCTGAATGGCGCACGACCTTGATATCATGATATTTAAATGGTACTATGAGGAACTTCAGAGAATAACATGGTTAAACATGTCCAAAAATAACACTTCTCGCGAAGATCAATTCATAGATAAAGTCTGGTGAAAACTCATAAGACAGGTGGAAATTACATTCACATGTGCAAACCGGATGATTGAAACTGTCCATTTCACCCATTACCAGTGCAACCTGAGTATTTTGATAGTTAAGAGCACCATTTAACCATCCACCATCAAAACACACACACACACACTTATCTGCGCCTGCCAAGGGCTGCAACTCGTCTGCAGTAATGCGCCTCTTATGTTGGAGAGCAAAAGCTGACCTTGTCCTCTTTGCTGTGGGTCTGTGGGTTTTGGACTTGGGAACAGGAACTCCCAGTACAGACAGCGTGTCTGCGAGCCCCAGCGCCCGCTCCACAGAGGAACACTTTGTTCACCGCCACCAAGGAAAACTTAAGACAACAAAAACACACATTCTGGAAAAATGAAAATTTGAGAAGGGCCCCCTCAACCTTTTCTTTTCCTCCTCCTCTTTTTTTTTGAAATTGTGCGCTTGGCGTTCAATGATAAATACTATCTCCCTCGCCTCCAAAGGGGCAACAATAACAGAACCGGGGGGAAAGTGTCCAAGAGCGAAAACTACAGCTAATGAATGAATCTGAGTGGAGTATAATGACTCGTAACTCACCGGTGAGTGATATCCAATTGGGTTTGATTTATTGTGTTGAGAACAGAAGGCCTTGGTCAGGGAAAGCAAAACACCAGACTTTTTATGTGTTGTCACAGTAACTCATAAGCAGCACATGTCCTGTTGACAGGAGGGGGTGAACTGAATAAACGTCTGTTTTGCAATACACATCCTACATCTGATTATAGTTTATTTGGAGTTGGACTTCTTTGGTTACATTACAGCAGAGGCAGCATATGGAGATATGAGTGAATGTACAACTATAATTAACACAGTCACAGATGCTAGTTATGCGTCATGAGAATCATACAGAATGAAAAAAAACCCTCCTTTTTCAGTTATTCACTGAATAGTTTAAATCCAAATGACATCCAACATTATTTCTTTATCAAAGGGATAGTTCACCCAAAAATGATTTGCTCACCCTCATGTCTTTCCAAACCACTTACGATCATCTTCAAAACACAAATGAAGATCTTTTTAATGAAATCTGAGAGCTTTCTGTCCTCCATTGACCACTTTGACGCTTCAAAAAATTCATAAAGAGACCATAAAACTAATCGGTAACACTTTACTTGAAGGGGTGTGTATGAGCCTGACACCTTCATAATCGTGACATGACATATGTTATGAATATGAAGTAAGGTTTATGCATGTTTATGACAACTGTCATTAAGTGTCTTTCGCTCAATAATGACATTTTGAGTGCAAATATGACATTGTTTAAGTTGTCTTTGTTATGACATCATGACATAAACCAATACATCATAACCTGTCAGTGTCGTTGTCATGACAACTTGACCCAAAGATGAGTTAAAACAACCCAACACAGTAAAAATACTGTGTTGTTCACCCCAACTTTGGTCAAATATGGACAAACACAGCCATTGGGTTACATTTTTTTAATGACATTTTTAACCCAACATTTGGGTTTGTCCGTATTTTACCCAAAATTGGGCTAAAACAACCCAGGATTTTTTTAGTTTTTAGAGTGTTAGCTTATATTAACCAGTACTTAAGTACACATAAAGTGCATGTACCATAAAATGAAAAAGCAACCAAAAATTGTGCCTCTTCTTGACCTCATACAGATTTTCACCAGAGAAGGGTGGGGTGAAGGAAGCAAGAAGCGAACAAGAGAAAGAAAGCGTGAGGCAGGATTTTCATCCCCCCAGGCTACAGTTATCAACCTCCTCCACCCAGTTATACTCTGACTCAAGCAGCACGCTCAGTCCAAAGCAATGCTTTGTTTTCTTCTTCAAATCTCTTCTTTTAACTCCATTATGAAGCAACAACCCTCCCTCGTTCATGATAACCCATTTGTCAGTGTTCGTTTCAGATCATACTCAAGAAAGTTTGGCAATCGACGGCCATTTGCGCATGGTTGCAGAGGAGCAGGTTATCTGTTGTTAGCATGCCGCCACGCGCCCTGCTGCACCTGATAGTCTTACACAGCATTCCTCACCTGAGAGACGGAAAGAACGGGCAGGTTTTAACACGAACGCCCAGACACTCATACACTTGTTCTGTGGCTGCAGGTGTAGCTCGCATCGCATGTAATACTGCAGCTCTGGGCTTGTAGGTGAGCCGCATAAACTATGCGCCGGGGTTTTAAGGAGGAGGTGAGGGTAATTTGATGTTTGGAGCCACATAACGTGGGACGAGGAGTCCAAACGACTGTTTATTTGGAAGAATTAAGCTTTTCGCTCCGTGTGAAGTTGATCGCTTTGTGGATTTTCCCTCGAGTGTGGTTCAGGGCAGAGAGAGGGCACGTGAATGCATTGAAGTCCATCGCGTATGTAACAGCACACCGACTTGCAGTCTCCCCAAAAATGAAAATATACAATCTGAAGTACTTCTCAGTCCGTTGCATATTTAAGATGGAGGCCTCACAGTAACTGTCGAATTCAAAGACAAGGACTGCGTGGAGATATCGGATAATAGTGCAGTGTTTTACTGAGCGGAGCGATTATGTTAAAGTGACTGTGATTATTACCTCTAACTGCCAAACACCATTTTAGAAAGTTTCCAGACTCAGTATTGAATTAAACTAGGATTATTAATGGGAAATCACCATGGGAAGGATGTAGCAATAGCTTGTATTATCTCACAAAAACGTTTAGTAACACGTCCAAGTAAAATTTTACCCTCAAAAATGTATTAGAAAAAAATTACAAATATATATATATATTTTTTTTGCATTATGACATTACTTTCATGATAATTACACAATTTTACACCCAAATTCTCATTAATGCATCTGCACATTTAACTTTGAACTTTTTGTGTAATTCTCATTATTCTTGATTTTATTAGATTTCTGTTACCGTAGTAGTGTTTTTGGACACGGTTGCAGATTTGATTTATTTAATTCTATATTTATATAATTATGAATCAGTGTTTTTGTTAACTTAAAACTAAAATATAAAAAAAGTGAGGTAACTGAAATAAAAATAAAATATAAATATTAGGTGAAAAACTTAAACTAATAAAAATGTGATCAAAGTCAGAAAAGTAAAAAAAAAGAAAGCTAAATATACAAAAACATGACAAAAAATTACATACAGAAATGACTAAATCTTTAACTAAAATAAACTGAAAGCTAATAAATATAAAAAATGTATATGTTAAATATTGTAACATACTAAATTACTATAGTATAAAATAATAACTCTGATCTAAATATTTTATATATAAATGACATATTTACATTTATATGTTTATTTATTTGAAGTAATAATTATTATTTATTTATTTGCATTATAATGACAGTTTGAGAGAAATGTGCAAAAATGTCATTAAAATAATGTCATCATGCAAAAAAAAAAATATATATATATATATATATATTTATATATACAGTGCCCTCCACAATTATTGGCACCCCTGTTTAAGATGTGGTCGAGGACTATTAAAAATTCTCCCTTTTTTTTAAACAACATAGAACCCAAATGCAAAAAAAGAGAAAAATCCAACCTTTTATTTAAGTACATTACTTTGGTGGTAAAAAAAAAAATTAAAATTTAAAAAAATAAAAACTTCAAATCATGTGTGCCACAATTATTGGCACCCCTGATGTTAATACTTTGTACAACCCCCTTTTGCCAACAAGACAGCACTTAATCTCCTCCTATAACATTTCACAAGATTGGAGAACACAGAGAGAGGGATCTTTGACCATTCTTCTTTGATCTTTCGAAAAATCTTTGATCTTGAAAATCTTTCTAGATCATCCAGTATCCTGGGCCCTCTCTTGAGCACTCTCCTCTTTAGCTCACCCCACAGGTTTTCGATTGGATTGAGGTCTGGGGACTGAGATGGCCATGGGAGGACCTTGAGTTTGTGACTGAACCATTTTTGTGTAGATTTTGCCACACGTTTTGGATCATTATCCTGCTGAAAGACCCAATGACGACCCATCTTCAGCTTTCTGGCAGAGGCCATCAGGTTTTTATTTAAAATGTCCTGGTAGTTCAAAGCGTTCATAATGCCATGCACCCTAACAAGGTTCCCAGGGCCTTTGGAAGAGAAACAGGCCCACAGCATCACAGATCCTCCACCATACTTCACGGTGGGCATGAGGTACTTTTCGGCATACACATCTTTTGTTTTACACCAGATCCACTTAGAGTGTTTGTTGCCAAAAAGCTCAATCTTAGTCTCATCCGACCAAAGCACACGATCCCAGATGAAGTCCCAGTGCCGCTTGGCAAACTCCAGACGTTTACGTTTGTCAGTGTTAGTGAGAAAAGGCTTTTTCCTAGCATGCCTCCCAAACATCTTGTTGGCATGTAGAGAGCGTCTGATGGTTGTTTTGGAGATTTTGTGACCCCAAGATGCCACTATTTGATGCAATTCTGTGACAGTGAGCTTAGGACTTTTTTTTACTTTTCTTAGCATCCTCCTCACTGTGCGTTGTGGCAAGATACACTTGGGACCTCTTTCAGCCTTGTTTGTCACTGTTCCAGTTGTTTTAAACTTCTTAATGTTTCCTCTAACTTTTAGTACGGGCAAGATAAGGTGAGTGGCTATTTTCTTGTAGCCATTGCCTAACTTATAAAGGTCAACACACATCTGCCTTACTTGAATGGTGTGTTCTCTTGTCTTTGCCATGTTGACAAATGGGTAAGAGAATTAGGCCTCTGTGTCATGTCATATTTATACCCCAGGGAAATAGGAAGTCATGAATTACTAATTAAAAGTTGCTAGATATCCTGACCAACATTAGCAACTACAGAAAATATATTTTTAAAAAAATCAATTACATTTTTTAGCGGAATTGTTAGGGGTGCCAATAATTGTGGGACACATGATTTGAAGTTTTTATTTTTCTAAATTTTTACATTTTTTTTTTACCACCAAAGTAATGTACTTAAATAAAAGGTTGGATTTTTCTCTTTTTTTGCATTTGGGTTCTATGTTGTTTAAAAAAAAGGGAGAATTTTTAAAAGTCCTCGACCACATCTTAAACAGGGGTGCCAATAATTGTGGAGGGCACTGTATATATCTTAATGGTCATACAGTGAGTCTTTATTTCTTGTCCTTTGATTTCAGAGAGAAGTGTGTGCTGGACCTGTTGGCTGGTTTCGGGAGAGTCCGGGTGTCCAGAGGTTCTTGTTTGCACATGTGGACAGTGAGACACTTTTAGCTGGAATTCTTCAGAGCTCCACCTCCAGTTTCTTCATACACCTCAACCATACAATTCACATTCACATCCAAGAATGTATGATTCCATGGGGGCGACAGGCTCATTTTATTTCCTCCCTGTAAAAACATTTTTGAGAGCACAAAGAGGATTTTACAAAAATAACAAAATCAGTCATCAAAAAACAAAAAACGTAACACGTAAGGCAATCTGGTTTTGACGAGAAGAGATTGCTGAATGTGGCACGTTGAAGCTTGTTTGTGTATGTGTGTGTGTGTGTGAGTGTGTGTGCGGCCTGTGGCAGGTGCACAGAAGAGGCAGATAAAGGGATTTCAGACCTGCTGAAATCTGTGAGGGCAAGTCAGAGCTGTGCTCTAAACACACACACACACACACACAGAGCTGTGCTCTATACACACACACACACACTTTTTATCTCAAGTTAAACAGGAAAAAAGTCTTTAAGACTTCATTATTATAATGTTTAATCTATCTATCTATCTATCTATCTATCTATCTATCTATCTATCTATCTATCTATCTATCTATCTATCTATCTATCTATCTATCTATCTATCTATCTATCTATCTATCTATCTATCCATCCATAACTGTCTGTCTGCACTAAAAAATTCTGGGTTGTTTCAACCCAAATTCGGGTAAAATATGGACAAGTCCAAATGTTGGGTTAAAAATGTAATAAAAAAAATTACAGATGAAAGTGAAAGTTGGGTAAAAAATTTAAATTACATTTTTAACCCAACATTTGGGTTTGTCCATATTTGACCCAAATTTGGGTTAAAACAACCCAGCATTGTTTAGAGTGTGTCTAATCAAAAAACACTTTTTTATGCTGGGAAAAGTTTTTTTTTTTTTTTTAAATCCCATCAAAGCAAAGTTTAATGATAAACTATGTTTAATGGAATGAAGGCTGTGTGTGAGCGCTGACACAAATCCCTAAACCTCACAGCTATGTAAATATGCATGTCTTGTCGTGTCGGGACAGACCCCTGTAATTATACCATCATCAGAATCACCTGTGTGAAGGTGTATCGCTGCATCACAAGAGGGCTGCGTTCGAAAGAAAAACACGCTGAGAGAATGATGCTGAGACACACCAGTCGACCAGCTTGAATTCACAAACATCCAGAGTGCATTTCTATAGGCTGTACACACTACAGCTGATATAGACGACAGAAGTCAAACTCTTTGCAAAATACTATGAACGTTAATTCAAGGCATAAAACATCAGCTGGAGTATTTGAAGATGTTTAAGCTGTTGATATTTGGCAGTGAATTTTAGATTTCCCAGCAATCCTCTTGGTGTCAGGACAAATGAGACACGGTCTACCGCCCGCTCTTTTAAAAACAGAGCCACGCTGAAAGAAAGGGACGCCAGTGAATCCCAAGGACATGTACCTGCACGGGAGAGCTACTTGTGCAAACAAAAGTTGGTAACACAAACATTCACTTTTCTGATTGAGATGAATGATATTTTTTCACCAATATTTGATCAATCCCCAACAGTGAAAATAAGGTAACCCTTCACAGTACAACAAAGATGAAACTAAATATTTAATATTAGGGAGTGATCGAAGGTAAAATTTGAGGAAACCACCAAATCACCAATCAATGTGCAATAAGTAAGCAAAATTATGTCCACTTAGTCACACACAGACATAAAGATTTTGGATATGATTCTCAACAATGGTGACAATTAAAACAAAAAAGCTTGGGAATCAAGGATCTTTTGTACTATGAAAGCTACCCATCATGCTTTTTTATTGTCACCATTGTTGTGATTCATATGCAAAATCATTATGTCTGTGTGTGACTATATGATATATTTTCTTAAAACATTGTGTAAACATGCTTTTATTCACTTTCAAATAAGTCAAAATGTTAATGATACTAGCCCAAATAATGCAGTTCCACAAGATTGATGGTTATACAAAAGTGTAAACACAACATCTTGCTTTGCAATGCTTGCTTTGATTTTGTCATCAGCAACAAGGAGCTGATGACAGCCAATCATACTTTTTCTTGGCTTTCTCTGCCATAACCATTGTATATTACAAACACACAGTTACAACAGCCAACGAAAAGCAAAAGTAAGAAGAACTGACACCAAGAGCCCCACTAAAGCAAACACTGATCACCACAATGGTGACTTAAAATTAAAGAAATATCAACATCTAAACCTCATCTAAAACATGAGTTTTAATTAAATGCATCTTGAGTGTTTGTTTGGTACAGAAACAGAATAAATTGTCTAAATGAGACCATAAATGATGTTGAAAATGTGTCCAAAATGGCCACATTTAAACTAGTTTTTAACTTCGATGAACGTCTATATCAGACGAGCAGAACACGTCAAAAATTACGCCATAAAAGCTTTCATTCTGGCTCCTCAGATGACGTTTGCGACAAAGACGTTAAAAAGACGTCTTTTGGACATCATTTTTCTGAGTGGGTGGTTACAGACCAGTTTAACAAAAAAAAATAATGCATAATTGTAAACTACTCTACAAAACAACGCCAAAAGGAACTATTCAATTAAGGAATATTTTTCAAGCTAATTTGGAAATTTTAAAATGACATTTTCTAATTGACACTAGTCTTGTGTTGGTCAGGGCGATGTGAGTGGCACAAGAGGAGACAGGTTTAAAATCTGTTCTTATCTCTCCAGCATCAGCAGATCACCTGGAGCTATCCGAGAAAATGTCACTCGCAGCCGGGAGTGAAAAGAGGTGGCTTGTTTTGTCCCGAATCACTTAAGTCTCTCAACCTGAAAACAAGGGATCACTGGGATAATCCAACTCCACTCCAAACTGGGATACGAACAGCAGACACAGCTCTCCTAAAACATTCCTGCTCGTACAGTGCAACATACTTCATCAAAACATCTTCATGATGGCAATAAAATATTTCAACTATGCATGTTCACATTCTTGTAATTTGACAGTACATAATAGATTGACCTAAGTGCACTAAGTTATATATATATATCTTGCTGTCTCTACACACTGTAGTGACGACAACAGAAAACACATCCTGTGCACTGACCTCAACATCTCAGTCCCTGAGGCTGTGACCTCACAATCCCCCAACACACACACACACACACACTAAAAGTGAGTCTAATGCATGCTGACACAACTGCCCCTGCCAAAAGACAAGGAAAGAAAGTTTTTACTAAAGTATTAGTAAATTCTCTAAGCTTTCCCATAAAATGACAGTTCATTAAAGGTGACCACATCAGCAGAGCTCAAAAAACATTTGAAAAAGCACCATAAAATAGTTCATGCAACTCTTTTCCAAGTAGTGCAACTAGTTCATGTGCTATATTTTAAATATTCTCAAGACATAAAATAGCTTTGTCTGAGGAAATAACTAAAATGGGTCATTATTCATCGAAACTCTTCCCTCAAAATTCATTATTAAAGCGCACCCCAAAATGCTGTCATCATTTACTCACCCTCATGTCGCTCCAAAGCCATAAGACTTTGGTTATTCTTTGAAACACAAATGAAATCATTTTAAACATGGAAGCTCACACGCGAGAGACCTAATTAGAATTGTTCTAAATGTGATGTGTCAGTGTCGATCATTGTTTAGATGTAAATAAAAACTTAAATGGAGTCTGTTCATCATATAAATCATATCTCTTGGATTAAAACACTTGATTCATAAGTTTTGATTCATTCATAATGTCCTTGTTTTAGGACATCTTTGTGACATTTTTAGATCTTGTAGGTTTTGGTTACCTGGACCTCTCAGGTTTCATAAAAATCTCTTAATTTATCTATCAAAGATTACCAAAGTCTTATGGGTTTGGGACGATATGATGGCGAGTGAGTAAATGACAACAAAATTGACATTGTTGTGTAAACTTTAAAGGGGTGGTAAAGTATGATTTCACTGTTTCTAACTTAGCCTAAACAACATTATCAAATAAAAAGTCTCTCTGTGTGCATCTCACAACAGTTATAAGTGCGATTTATAGAGTACATGACAGGATATCCTAATTAATGATAGTTAACTTCACATCAGCAACATAAATTCATCAACTAACCATTCAGAGACGTCCTGTTGCATTCTACATGTTGTCACTTCTTCTTGAGTCTCTCCATCTTTGACTGACTCCATTTTAACATTAAAGAGAGAACTGTTTCTGTCATTTTAGTATGTCTGCGTGAGGAAATCGCAGCTGCTAACTAACACACGCGAGCTCTTGAAACCCCGCCCTCTGCAGCAGCTCATTTGCATTTAAAGGGCCAGGCTCAAAACGGTCCGTCAAAAATTGACAACTTTAACATGCTATATTAAATATCTGGGGGGTGTTTTGTACTAAAACTTCACACACACACACACACACTGAGGACATCAGAGATTTATTTTACATCTTGTGAAAATGGCATTTTACCACCCCTTTAAATCTGGCGTATTCAAAACTGGCGTTGCATGTCTGATTATAACACATTTTTAAAAATCTTCAGACAAATTGAGAAATAGCACAAAAGTCATACTGTAATTGTGCTTTTATGGGGGTTTGTCCATTTTATTAGACATGGACACTATAGCTGTGGCCAGAGGCTGCATATACGATGACTGTCCCAATTCGAATGCAGCCTACAAATACATATTTTGTTTCCCAGGCCATGAAGGACAGAACGAGTGGACCCTTTGCAGCCTATCCCAAGATTCATTGCTGGTGACGACTGGATTTTTTTTGTTGAGAGAACATGCCGGATTACCAACGCATTTTTTGTCATTAGAACGCTATATGAGAACATGGCCGGATATAACACACTAAGTTTAGGTGTTGTGTGCGTGTCATACATGCTAAAGGAATAATCTAACATACCATAGCGCCGTTTTTGCATATAGCGTTCTATATGACGTTAAAGGATGAGAACGGGCTGGGATTACACTAGTATTGTGTTTCAACATACTCAAATATCTAACATACCAACGCACAAAAAAAGCGGTTTCAGATGACATATATCTTACTAAGATGCAATTTTAGATAGTTTATACTCTTTATTATGTACATTAATGTACCAAGGTGAACATTTAGACACTGTTCACATAGTTTAATACAACTTTCAAAAGCTAG